TGCAAAGAGCCACTCAGCCACGAACCTATCTTTGTGATTGTTGACATATTTGACTCTATTTTTGTTATCTTTCAGCACTATGTCAGGCACTGTTCTGTTGGGTTTTCACTGGTTAATTTTCACAAGTAGACCATCAGACCTTTCTTCTTTTCTCTGCCTTACTCTGGATGCTGTGCTAAAACCTGTCCACCATGGTTGACCCTGTTGGTATTTGAAATTCTGGTTGTGTAGTCCAGTATCACAGCAACATGCAAGCTACCACAGCACAACAAACTGAAAATGGATGGTGGAGAAAGGAATTATGGGATCCATCAAGGAGTAAAAGAGACAGTGGACAAGATGACTTTGTCCTGAGCCTCATTTAGAAGGGTGATTGGGCAGAAATGCTCCTGAGCTGGAGTTCAGGTTGTCATTGTCACCTGTTTTAGAAGTGGATTTTAGGATGATTTAGACAGGCTAAAAAGATTACCCCAACAACTTCATGCTCACAAAACACACAGGTTGTTCTTGTTGTTAAGTGCTGTTGAGTTGGTTCTGACTCATAATGACCCTGTATAGGGTTTCCAAGGACCAGGTGGTGATTTGAGCCTCTGACCTTGTAGATAGCGGTCCAATGCTCGTCCTACAGCACTGCCCCAGGAGTCCTAAAACACACATACGGACACAAAAAACTTCCACAGTTCTTTTCAGCTACCAGTTTTAAAGTCAAGTGTTATGCATTTGTTATAAGATGGTACCTTGTTTTGTTACCTGTGTGTAGAAGTAGGTTGGTAGGTAGCATGCAGTAGGTGGTTTTGGCCCTGTATAGGGTCTTCTTGCTCCCCAATTTACCTTTTCTCCTCTCCTAGTACCTTTGGGCTGCCCTTTGACTCTTGTGACCCTGCTCTGACCCTAACTGTTCTGTGACCCAGGCTTGCAGATCAACTAAGGACCTAACACTCCAGCCCTAATGCTCACATCGCCCATAGGAGACTTTAGCAACTGCAAGTTGTGTTGTTAGTGGTTGTCCAAGCAATTCTGACTCATGGTGACCCCACATACAATAAAGATGGTCCTGTGCCATCTTTGTGATCATTAACATGCTTGAATCCTTTGTTGCCGTATATTTGAGTGTCTTCCAACCTAGGGGATTCATCTTCTAGCACTATATCAGATACTATTCTGTCATCCTTTGGTGGTTTGCCTGATGCTGTAATGTTGGAAGCTATGCCACCTGGATTTAAAATACCATCAGGGTCTCCATCCATGATGTAGACAGATGGCGTTTCAGTGGAGATGAAGAAGAAAGATCTGATGGTATTTGTGAAAGTAGCCGATGAAAACCCTATGAATCACAATCTGAAGTTATCCTAGTGAAATAGCAGTTTTCCTGGGTGGTTTTCAGTTTACTGGTGCTCTTGCTGAATGTGATGCCTGTAGAGGTCTTAGCTTTGTAGGGGTCTCATAACAGAAAGGTGAATACAGAGCACTTAACTTTAGAATTGGTGGCTGAACAGAACTGTGGTAGTGTTTTTATGCCTCTACTTGGAGTTCAGGTTGTCAAATTTGTTAGATAAATTTGTTAGATTTGTTAGAGGTAAAATTGTTAGATAGTCTTTACTCTTGCTTTTGTTAATTGCTACTGAGTCGGTTCCAACTCATAGTGATCCTATATAGGGTTTCCGAGGAGCAGCTGGTGAGTTTGAATCATGGACCTTGCATTTTAAACCGACCCTGTCCAGTGCTTATCCTACAGTGCTACACCATGACTCCATGATTTACATTTAGGCATTAGGCAAATCTGCTGCACAAGACCTTTAAAGTGTTGAAGAGCAAAGATGTCAGCTTGAAGACTAAGGTGCACCTGACCCAAGCCATGGTATTTTCAGTAACCTCATATGTATGTGAAAACTGGACGGTGACCAAAGAAGACCGTAGAAGAATTCATACTTTTGAGTTATGGTGTTGGAGGAGAATATTGAAAGTGCCATGGGCTACCAAAAGAGCAAACAGATCTGTGTTGGAAGAGGTGCAGCCGGAATGCTTCTTGGAGGCCAGGATGACTAAACTTCGACTCTCATACTTCAGACATATTGTCAGGAGGGACTAGTCGCTGGAGAAGGATATTATGTTTGATAAGGTGGAGGGTCAGAGAAAAAGAGGAAGACCCCCTGCAAGATGGATTGGCAAAGTGGCAGCATCAATGGGCTCAAGCGTGGCAACAATTGTGAGGTTGGCCCAGGACTGGGCAGTATTTCATTCTGTAATGCTTAGTGTCACTTTGAGTTGGTACTAACTCGATGGCACCTAACAACAACAACAAATCCTAAAAGTGTGTATCCTTTATTCTAAAAAAAAATCTATTTGCATAATGTGTTAATTTTTATGAACACAGTGACCTTGCTAGCTCAAAATTGTTAATTTAAAAAATTAATTTCCTGTCTTGTTCCAAAGTTTCTCCTTGCCTTCTCCTCTTGTTAAGTGCCATCCAGTTGATTCTACTCACAAGGACCCCATATAAGGGTTCCAAGGAGCAGCTGGTGGATTTGAACCACCAACCTTACAGTTAACAGTCCAGTGCTTATCCTACAGCCTCATACCCGGACTCTGCTATCATATGATAAACTAGAATAAAATAAATAGTAAGAAACATCTTTAAATCCTGGTGTGGCACTGTGGTTCAGACTCGACCAGTTGCACCTTGGAAACCTTATACAGGGCTGCTATGAGTCGGAACCGACTTGATGGCACTTAACAATGACAAAACAACAAGAAGAATCTTTTCATCAGGAAAGCATCTTACTTAATGAATCTTGATTTGTATAATTAAGAAACAGACGAGAACAACATAGGATATGATTGTTTAAAGGACTGGAGAAGGGAACCAAAACATACTAGGTAGGGTAAGTCAAAATGTATTGCTACTAGGGTTCCTGTTCATACATGCACAGTTTATTCCAAAGCATGGTAAACATGTCTCTGCCATCAGTGGATGGTTG